GAGTCATAAGTCCCAAAAAGGTGGCATAAGCTCTGTGCTTGGGCATTTCGAGTACAAGAAGTAAGTCCAGGCGGTATAGGGATGAATGAGAAACTGGACCTGCCTTCAAGAAGCTTGACCCAGTGGGGAGATAGGATATTTACCCAGCTGTCATTCAAGGTAGAAAATAAGAAGGGCCATAAGGGGCAAAGAAATAAAAAAGGAGACTAAATACCTCAGACCAGGGGAAGTTTCATGAATGAGGTGACTTGGTTTTGAGGGATGCATGAGATCAGGAAAGCTGGAGACTGTGAGAAGTTGTTGAACAGTGAGCACTTATATTGACTAAAACATGGAGTTGTACGGAATAAAAGATGAGGTTTGATAAGTGGGCAGACACAAGTGCCTGGCAACCCTCAGACCCCTCTTGACCCATGGATGTGTTCTTTTGGTCAGCAGACATTTTAAGATTTAATGTCTTTAAAGATGTTATGTACTTTCTAGTTAGTGCCCACCATTTTTTATTGTCTTACTCTGGAAGGTAAGTCAGTTTTCTTACGATTACAGGCAGTATAGTGTAGGGTTAAGCTTATAAGCTCAGAAGACAGACTGCATTGATCCAAATCCTGGTTTTGCCACCTATTAGGTCTGCAACCTTTGTTATGTTACTTCAACTCCTTGAGCTTCAGTTTCATCAACTGCACAACAGAAATAGTTCCTACCTCATGGGGTAGGATTAAACCCATGTAAGCATTAGCATAGCAACAGGCAAATTGTAAGCACATAATAAATGTTAGCTATTATTACTAAGTTACCCACCTGGACCTTGAAGATATTTGAGTTTGCAAGTCCTGTTTTGGAACTCTAAAAATTTTCAAAAAAGGACATAACGTCTTTTTTGTCTTTGAGTCTTTGAGTGTTGGACTGAACCTGACTTAAATTGCAAGGACTAGTTCAAGGACATCGCTAATTCTATTAAAACCCTCAGCTGCTGGAGAGAGAGTTTTCAGTGCTGGGCCTCAGTGTGATTTCTGGAATTAAGTCACTCACTCACTCACCCTTCGAAAGGGCAGGGCCAACAGAGGAAGAAACAAGTAGCCAGCCTTACCCACGGTGTTTTCCAAATGTGCAGTGATTCATTTAGCACCAGTTTCCCAGGATCGATCCCAGGCTCAATGTCAGCCTCATTTTGAAAACACATTATTTTGAGTTTTAAGAACTGTAATCTTGAAAATCTGTATGATTCAAGAGCTTCTCTGGTAATTTATTTGTCTTTAATAGCTGAATAGTGGAAAGGATTTAACATAGAATTCCTGCCCCCCCCAAAACAATAACTTGAAAATAAGAGTTCAATAGTTTCAAAACCACTAGAGTGAGCAAAACAAGTCTTTTGTAAAAGTGCTATGTGCTTAGTAAACAAGGACTGCTAATTACATAACTGTCAGGGTCTGCCCCCCCCAAAACAATAACTTGAAAATAAGAGTTCAATAGTTTCAAAACCACTAGAGTGAGCAAAACATGTCTTTTGTAAAAGTGCTATGTGCTTAGTAAACAAGGACTGCTAATTACATAACTGTCAGGGATGTTTTCTGGCACAGTCTAACACCAGCTTCTTGTGGTACAACAAATATAAAAACGCCTAGAAGTAAATCACAGTTGCTGAGTGCTGTGGGCAAACAAACCCATGCCTTATCTCTTCCAAAGGCGCCCATGGAAAATGCATGATAAATTACACAGCTCAGTGAACATGTTATGTCATTGTAAAATGATTTTGATTCATGGTTGTGTATTTAACACAAAACAACTGACAAACCTCAAGGCATCAGAAATATTATCATTTGTTGGATTTTGATATTTTCTATTGTAAAATTCAAGTGCTATAAAGTGTTTTTTTGTTTGTTTGTTTAAAATTCTGTATCAAAAATAATATTTGACACAAACTCTTTGGAAATAATTTTTTAAGTTATGTGAATTCCTTCCAGAATTGTCAAAGAGCTGTGCTAGTAACTAATATTTTAAACATAATGACTAATTCTTATTTTTGCTAATATCCTTTGATGAAAATTCTTATAGCTAAAAATAGACCAAGTTGTAAGGCAATTTGATTTCAAAATAGAATTATAATCTACTTTTGTATAGCTTATCAATATAAAGAGATTTCTGAATGTTTTCTATACAATAGCAGGAGAACTGAGAGTGAGAGAATTATTTTAAGGAAGATTTTACAGAAGTAGCTTTTAGGCAGGCATGATTCCTTTTCTATGATCAAGATATTCTGCTACACTGTCCTTATCTGTTGCCGAGTCTCTGAAGTTTAAAGTGTTAATTAGACCACATTCCACCTGAAATTTACAGTTACTTTAATGATTTTTACTAATTTTAGTAATTTTTATCTCTAAAACTAATTTTACTAGTTTTTCTCTCCATCGATGAGTTTGATGTTTAAACACCAGCTTTTGATATTTAAAACCTTTTCTGCTAGTGTTAAAACAGCTGAAAGGTAGCCTGGCAACACGATCGACTAATGTACTACCAAATTGTTTTTTGTTTTTTTGTTTTTTTCTAAATTCCCTAAACCAAGAACCACTGTTCCTCACTTTTTTTTTTGTAATCATAAAATCCTACTGTTCTAATTTTTGCTATCAAGTTTTTTTTTAATGTGACTTTAGATATTCTGAATAGTGCCAATTATTGCATTGAGAGCTTAAAAACAAAACAACAAAGAAAACCTTGTCTATTTGTAGAAATGATCAATTATTTCTCAGGTATAGTGAAAGGGATTTGGTTATTTCTAATATATCACTATCATTTAAAACTTGAATTCATTTTATGTTCTCTTAGAATATTTTAACCAATTGACCTTTATATATGCTTTGCGTTTGTTAAATTAAAGTAAATCTTAGTAACCTAGAAATATGGTTCAAAAAAATTCATAGTATTTTTCTTTCAGCCTTGGAATGTGACAAGCTTATTCTCTAAATATTTACATCATTGGAGAATATCTATGTACTTATGCTGATTTTGACTTAACATTTTCTAAAATAAGTCTGTTAAATTAAATGTAAGCTTTAAAGTGTAAAGCCATAGATCATGTAACTTGATACAAGTATTGCAACATGGCTTACAGCATTTTCTTGGAACATTTTTATGCCCTTTTCTTCTACCACGATGGCAACTTTCACCTTTATATTGAAAATTCCCAAAATGTATCTATGTGAGAACAATTTTAAAACATGAGATTTATGTTCCTGTAAAGGAGAAATCCTTTATAACCACATAAAACCATTGTCACCACAAATTTCAGTCTAAGTTTTACATGAAAGGCGACATATTTTATCTTTAATGGCTCATTAAACTTTCTGGAAATGGCAATATTCTGGAATATTGTAGGTGAATGACTACATGTCTATATTTCTTCTGAAAAGTTCAAATATAATCAGTGGGAAAAAAACTGAGCAAATCATTTGTTCTAATAATTAAAGCCACAGTATTTTTTCTTCTCTTTACTTTTGCCTTTATGCAAAGATGTTGCTTTGATATGTCAACCATGTTTCACTTGTAATTCTTTGATATAGCCAAAACCACCATTCCTAGGCTAAAATGATATCCTCACTTTTCAAAGGTCACATTGTATTTAAACCCCAATTCCACATATGTGTTTGTGTACACGTGTGTGTGCATGGATTGTGTGTGCACACTGTGTGCTTGTGCATAAGTTTATGTATACATTTCTGGGAGTGCATGTTTGTTTGTACATCCCACACATTGTAAGCTGCATTGTGTGGTTAGGAACATGGACTCAGGAGGCAGCCTGCCTGAGCCTGAATGCCAGCCCTGCTGCAACTTCTAATCTACGTGAATTTGAGAAAGCTTTTTTAACCTCTTTTTTCAGTGTCCTCATCTTACAGGGTTGTTATAAGATTTAAATAAGTTAACATATGTAAAGCACTTTGATTACCTAATTCATAGTAAATACTTAATAAAATATTAGGTATTACTACTATTATCACTATCATATACTCATTCACTTTCTTGTATTCCTGAAGCTGTATTACTTATACAGGTGCATTGGTGGGTGATTGTTAAATATGTATTTAACTGAAGTTATATTAAAGATATGCCAACATGTTCTCACTTATATGTAGATTTTTTAAGAGTTGAATACATAAAAACAGAGAGTAGAACAGTGGTCACCAGGGGTAACAAGGGGAGGAAATGGGAGAAAATGGGGAGCTGTAGGTCAAAGGGTACAAACTTGCAGTTATGTAGGTTGAAGAAGTGTAGAGATATATAATGTACAGCAGGAGGACTATTGTTAATAACATTGTACTGTATAAGGAAAATTTGCTAAGGAGAAGATTTTAGGTGCTCTTACCCTCCTGCCACACACGCACGCACACACACGCACACACACACACACACAAGCTAACTATGTGAGGTGACGGGTAGGTTAATTTGCTTGACTGTAAAATCACTTTGCTATGTATTTCAAAACCTCATGCTGTACACTTTAAATACAGACAGTACACACACACACACACACACACACACAAGCTAACTATGTGAGGTGACGGGTAGGTTAATTTGCTTGCCTGTAAAATCACTTTGCTATGTATTTCAAAACCTCATGCTGTACACTTTAAATACAGACAGTAAAAAGTATATTTAAAAAAGAAAAAAAAAGATATGCCAACAGAATATTTTGAATTGTGATCACTTCATTAGTAAACTGTTACATGGTACATCATTGGTGAGAGGAAGCAATTGGGAAAAAGCAAAAAAAGTTGCATAGCTTTGTGGCTCACAAGCTGCACGTCAAATATAGTGAAATGTATTCATTTATTCAACTGTAGATAGATTGCACATCTATACTGTGCCAGGAGTGAGTGTTAAAATGACACATAATGTGTCTCCAACAACTAAGAATGTACAGTCCAGCTGACTGAACGATAGATAAGGTGAAAAGTAGAATAGCAATGTTGTGTCACTTTTGCAAACTTAAAATGGGTTTTCTTTTTCAGGGGGCACCCAAACCAATAGCCATGGAGCCATGTGCTGGGAACAGAGCTGCTGTTCTGACTGTGTTTCTTTGTCTACCACGAGGATCATCGGGGGCCCCTCCTCCTGGGCAGTCAGGTATGATGAATGAGGAGCCATGAGTAGTTAAGCAAAGCTTGCAGACAAAAACAAGAAATACACAATACCACCAAACAGCACAGTCAAGACTTTTAAAAAGTTCCAATTTAGAGCGTGGCAAATTTTTATTAGAATACACTTTTACCCAAATATTTCGATATCTGCATTGCTGTAAATTCAGATTTGCCAGTGTTTCTCTTACAAATACATGTTGAATGTGCTCATATTTGTGTATAATACACACATGTATATAGGTTCACACACATCCCAATTTACTGTTGTAATTACAATGAGAAATCTCATTAGCAGGGCAACCATATTCTTAACCTTTCTGGCCAGCTCCTTTTCTCCCAGTGCATGTGTCATACAGGAAACCAAATTACAAATATGATTAGAAATTTGCTTTGTGAATATGGGAACAAACTAGGAGATTTACTTGTATGTTTGGAATGTTTAGTGGCATCAGAGGATGACAGCTTGATGCTGTTATCTCAATATGTTCAAGATATGTTCTTGTTCCCAGGACCAGACAGGCAGAGTTCATGGGCCAGGGGAAGCTTCTGCCTTAGTTGGGCATAGCCGGCCTGTGTTCCAATTCTCCTTACCTTGATAAAAAGCATGTTTTAGATTTGAGAGTAATTATATATGTATTCTCTTAGAGGTCTTCTCGTTGCTGTGGTGTTGTCCACATATAAACATGCTCAATGTTGAATATAACTTTTACTTAAATCACAAACTATACTTATTTCTCTCTTTCTATTTTTTAACATCCTATTCCATCTCTTTATAATTTCTAATTTTTCTGTCTTCTGATTGTTTTCTCCATGCAAGTCTTAGCAAAATGGATGCTTTTCGAGGGCAAGGGTGACTTCAAATCTGTCTTTCTCTTCGATTCCTCTTAAGCATAAAATAAAGTGCCAGAGATCTGGCAGGTTCTCCATAATAGTAATTGATGATGAACTTGCCTCCCTGCTTATTTTATCTTTTCTTGCTTCCCTAGTTGGCTTTGAACTTGCTCCTCACTTTCTTGATTTCTGTCCAACCAGACACACACAAAAATGTAAAATACACCAGTCTATATTTGTAAATGTTAGATCTGCACGTAAAATAATTTTCCCATATATTGGAGAAGAGGGTTTCCAGCACCTTTAGATTCATCATTGATGGTAGCTGATGATATTTTGTTGCAGGAATCTCTGTCCAAAGTTTATTTTTAAGATGTTTATTCAAAGAAATAAGCATTCTCTGCACCTTCTTATACATAGAGTGAATGTCTCACCCTTCTCCTTTCAGCGTCACCAAGGTAAATGGGATGCAGTAAGGAGACTAGCTTGGCAATGGTCAGATAAGAAGGATAATTATAGGTACTGTGCCCAGCTAATGGAAGCATTGTTTTAAAGCTGGGATGATTTCCAAAACAAACACTTTACTAATGAAAACAAATCTACGTGATATACACCAAGGTTCTTCTAGATCCTTGACAAGATGACTCACTGATGGGCAGAGGGAAGGCAACTGCCAATACTCTGTCCCTTTAACCTTTGAAATCCTTTCTGACTGATTTAAAAGAGGCCCGTAGCGGTGCGGATCATTACCTCAGCTGCGTTTTCTTACATATGCCTTGTGATTACTAATGAAAATGCTATGTTAGATGTGCATAGTGCTTTACTCTACAAGGTGTTCTCCTATTTTTCCCGTCTGATCCTCATGACAAGGCTGTGAGATAGGTATTTAAGACTCACTTTATAAATGAGGGGAGCAAGGCATAGAAAGCACTGTATTTCTATGCTCAAGGAATAATTGGGGGAGGGATACTAGAGTGTAGAGGAAAAGAACTAAAAATACTTATTGCTAGTCTTCCAGGTAATTTTTCCAAATGATCTGTAACAACTTATTTCTCTGTAATCAACAGCCCATGTCTTCACAAAGCCAAGCATTTGGATGAGTACTGAAAATGTCTACAGGGTTGATATAGGTAGAAATAGTTTACAATACTCTTTACAGAGCCTGTACTTTGAACTATGATGAATATCTGTGTGCACGATTTAGGATGAGACTGTTCTTAGTTTTTTAAAAAACTCTAATAAATATTTCTAGCTCTTCTCATAGGATAAGAAGAACCTTTGATTCTGCTCCTTCAAAATATGGTATTATCTGCTGTCTGCATCTACTTTGAAATGCAACAAAAACATGCAATATATTGATGAACAGATAGTAAGATGGGTAGATGGACAGATATGTCATAATGCAAGCAAAGTAAAATGTTAATAGTAGAATATAGGTGGTGGGAATACTGGTGCTCATTATAAAATTCTTTCAGTTTTGCCTTATGTTTGAAATTTTTAATAATGATATGTTGGGAAACAATAAAATAAAAAGGTCTTGACTTCACTGCCAAAAAATAAGCAATATCTGTAGAAAGAAATTTTCTAATGCCATCCCCTAGGGTTTCCCCTGAACAAGGCAAATACCAATACCGAAATGATTAGTTTTTTTTTTTTTTAGTCTTCATAAAAATATTTGGTGTGTACGTAGCCAATTAAAACTTAACATAGTATTGTCCAGTATTTAAGAAGAAATACAACCCAATGATTATTTGGGAACCATATTGGCTGTTGAGTGGAAAATGTTGACACTGGTTATCTCATTGGTAGAGTTTGGCTTTTCTCATATCTTTACAGAAAGTCTATATATACACCTGTGCTCGTGATAATGCCCTACATATAGAAAGCAGTTCATAAATGCTTTTGATGATTATGATGAATGGAGACCCGGGAAATGTGACCTTGAGCAACCACTTCCATCTATGAGCCTCAGCTAACTTCAATAAAATGAGCAATTGAACTAGAATTCATTCATTGTTTCCCAGATTCCTCACTAAGGAGCCCTGCATTCAGAAGAGCCTCCTCCAGTGTCGGGATAGGGTGGGAGATTTGGGGAATTGAGGAGGAAGGAAGAAGGAGCTTCATGGACAGACTCCTGACCCAACCCCCACTGTGTTAAGGATAGGGCTCCAGAAGTCTTCTCTTGGCTCTCAGGCTATTTATGTCTCCAAATTGTACAGTGATTAAATTAGCATTTATTATTAGGTCAAAACTCCTCTTGAAATACTTTGCACAGTCTCAATATTTTTTATCAGGCCCCTTTTTTGAAATATAGCTTCCTAAATGTCAGTGTCGTGTGTACTCTTCATTAGCATGAATAAAAGGATTTAAGAGAAGGATGACTTTGGGGATATGGAAAAGGCAGAAGCATCCTATGAGCATGGTGGTTTTCTCTCAGAAACTGAATTTCAGCACTAAAAAATGAGTGATTCAGAAATATGCAGGTGCTACTTTGGCCGTCTCTTTTCAATAGCAGCTAGCATTTTTTTTTTAAATTTAAAAAATGGCATTGTCTTTAGATTATATTCTCTTTCCACCAGCAAACTGTTTGAGTAATATTTATTCAGCAATGATTAAACATGGACCTTTCAGTCTGTCTGAAATGTGTGAACTTCATTCCTCATGGTTCTCATCTTTTCAGAGGTCCAAAGAACAACTGTGCAGATTTATCCCTTAGATTACCCATGAACTAATCTTTTTTTTTTTTTTAATATAATGAATTTAGGTGCTTGTGAGCAATTCTCCCTCTATTGGTGGCTTAGAGCTGGATTAATTAGGTTCCCTGCTACCCCACGCAGTAAACCTGCTGCTTCATTTCTGTATTTTCTGTGAGCAAGTGATGCCAGCCATGCCAGTCTCTCTCGGGTTAATGTGGGATTTAAGCTGTTGGCAGACGTTCACCATGCAGCCACTTTCTCTTCTGACCTCAAAGTGGTTGAAAGACTGACATCCCCGTGAAAACAGGACACACTAAGTAACTCTGCTGCATGACACTTAACAACCAAGCATGTCTCCAATTACCCTGGACAGCACGGTCCCCAAGCGTTTTAGAGTCACATTAAGATGAAATGTGGACAAAGTAAATAGAGATCTTCAAAGCATAAATTGAAAATGATAATGATTGCTGTCACTTTGTGATGGAGGGTTATGGATTTCATAGTTTATGGATTCTTCCTAATGAGAAGCAGATTAACTTTTCTCACTGGATTAAAAATCCCAGTGGCCCAGATATTCACTGCCAGAAAGAAGCCATGTGCTTCAACTAAGAGTAGAATTTTGCCATGATCCTGCATCACGTATGAGTGACTCTAACATTATCAGAAAGTTCAAGGTTTGAGATTTTGAAATTTTCTACTTTAGGCTTAGAAAGTTTGGCATGACAACCAGATTATTTTGAGTAATGCAGAAATATTGTATAATGTTTAAAATGATTGTCTAACCTCAGTGTCATGGATAGTTTTCCTGTTCATAATGATGACAGAAAGAGAACTTTGGTTTAATTAAGTGAAAGAGGAGGGAAAAAGAGAACTAGTGATTCTGGGCATTGTATTGGGTGGTTTATATATATTCACTGATTTAACCCTCTTAATGACTCATTGAAGCAGCTATGATTATTTCACTTTTACTGATTAAAAAACTGAAACCCGAGGAATTAAATTATTTGCCCAGGGCTGATATGGCTACAGGGTGAATGAACCAGAATTCAAACCGAGGGCCATTGGACTCTCAGCCTGTGTGACTCTCCCTCATTACTGAGCTTTTCTGGATAGAAGCACAGGGGTATTTCAGATTGTCCTTATTCCTGAAAAAGCTTTAAATCCAGAGTCAAAAAGGAAGGTCCTGAAGGGTCTCTGTTAAGCATTGGGCTTAAGGGCAAAAGAAAGATGGATTTACATTTCTAGATTATTTAACTCCAGATATTTGGTAAAATAGAAAAATGTGCATGCCATGACACATCCACTAATGAAGCTATGACTTGGTGTGTATAATAGCAATAAGGGGTATGCAGTCACAGGAAAAGACCTTACGTTTGTATGTGTGAGCTATGGACTTTGAGTCAAAAGCCCTGAGATCTAGACCCAGCTCTGCCACTACCTAACTGTGTGACCATGGCAA